GATTCTGGCTGGCTCAAACTCTCTGTTCCAAAGGCCAGATTTATCACACCATACCTGCCCCAAACAACACGCTCTCCAAGATCCAATTGTGTTGTCACTGTCGTTGATTTAAAATGTGAAAATAGCTGCGTGTATAATATCCCAGTGAGAAATTTTGCAGGTGGAATTTGGCTCCGGAGGAAACTATGAAGTCATGATAATGAGGTCATATTAGTGACCTGTGGGATGAGAGTCTGAATTCTTTTATTTCCCCATTGAATTCCTTTTTTTTCCTCTTCTTATCCTGCAAAGCGGCATTCTTAGAAATACTTCAATATTAAACAAGGTACACTCTTCAAAAGTTTTTAATTTATTTATGTTTTAAGAAATGAATACTTTTGATTAAAAGTAACAGTGAAGACATTTGTTACAAAAGATTTCCATTTCAAATAAATGCTGTTCTTTTGAACATTCTATTCACCAAATAATTCTGAAAAATATATCATGGTTTCCACAAATAATATATTAAGCAGAATAACTTTTTCAGACTTTTATAACAATAAGAAATCAGCATATTAGAATGATTTCTGAAATACAATGTAACACTGAAGACTGGAGCAATGGCTGCTGAAAATTCAGCTTTGCCATCACAAGAATAAATAACTTTTTTAAATATATGAAAATAGTAAACAGTTATTTAAAATTTTAACAATATTTAACAGAATAACTGTTTTTATGATCCAAGAAAACCAGCCTTGGCGAACATAAGAGAGTTCTTTCAAAATCTTTAAATCGAATGACCCCAAACTTTTGAAAGTAAAGATAGTTCTAGTACTGAAGAAATTGTAATTCTATGAGATGTTTGCCTATGGGAGTTTTTCTGTCTGCCTGGCAAAAATCATTACTAAGAAAAGTAAAAACACACCTTTTAGCAATAACCAGCACAGTCTAAGGCCCATAACAGAAACTAGTTACATGCCTACGATTTGTCCATATCATGAGCAATAGTAGTAATGATGCTTTTCTTCACAAGTACAAATAATTAAGAAAAAAAAATAATTAAAGATTCTTGATCCCTAGGAACGGAAGTTCCTAGCTTATCAGAATTAATGGACACAGTGTAGTGTTAGGATCTTTGCCACTCTCCACATACACAGCTTTTTATTACACAATATTTTACAGCCCTTGTGGCTTTTTCTTATTAAGCACGCTGAAATAGCTTTGTGTTTGAACAGCTGTGAACTACAATTTTACTTCTCCTGAGGACACTCAACACTTGCAAAAATGTGAGTTCACCCCTCTCCTGTCTTTCGTCCTGGACACTGACACCGGCCTGTAAATCGCTAAATCTCTATGAATAAAGTTTTATTCTGGGCTTTGAGTGATTGGCCACCTCAGGCTGGTCTTCACATACCAGCGCTGAGCTCATATGTGTGTGTGTGTTTGGGCCATTCTCTGCAATGAGTCAGATGATACATGACCATGTTTGAATAACGAATCCTTTAATTGCAAACTTAATCTCTAAGAAAGGCTAAGAGCAACTTGTACCTGCTGACCCATTACAAATAACAACTGACACGAGTACACTGAGATAAGGTGGCATGCTCACAAAATCTTTTATAGTTTATAGTTTTGAACATGAATTGTATTAATCACGAGTCTGAGATGGGCTCACTTTTGGAGTTTAATTGTGTTTACTTGGAGGATGTGATTTCCAAAAGCACCGTTGTAAGAAAATTAACTAATGAATAAAAGCTTTAAACTAGAACTCTATATACTCCGATCACATCCAAGGCACATAAACAAGCGTGATGGTCCATTTGAGTTAAAATTTCAATATTTGTTCCAATAATACCTTATTTAAAAATTAGCATTTAACAAAATATTGTATTTCACCCTAAATTAAAAGCAGAGGTTTGTTTAGAAAGAATTGGCAGCGTCAGTTTTTAATTCTCTTAAGCAAGAGGATTAAGGTATCAAAAATTAATCATATTGCTCCAGCTTTCTTTGAACCAAGCTTTCAATTCCATCCCATCTGAAATAAAAAAAATAACCATTGGCCAACTGAATGGTGTTAGTTTACCTGTACTTTGTAAATGAAGTGCAGTCAGAAGTGAACAACAGCAATGCAAGTCCGCCAACACGATCAGTTTCATAATTTTGCCCATTACTTTTATTGAAAATTAGTTTTTTCTTTGCATTTTAGTGTTTAAAGGTCCTTTGAAAATACAAAGAAAGTCTGATCAAGTGAATAGTAATACTATATTAAAGTTACTATTCAATTATTTTCAGTTAATAGAAAATTTGGAACAGTTTGATAAGGGGAATAAAAAAAACTTGCAGTAATTGAAGTGTGTACGCCAAACTGTTCACACATAAACTGGCACATAATATGAACAATGTTTAACAGTCTTCTTGGAGGTCCTCAAAGTACAGTGAAAAGTTTTTCATCTTTCGTTGTGTAGCTAGAGAACGTTTTCTGTGTCATGGCACACATATTGATGCTTTGCAAGCCCTATAGTTTTTTATGAGACTGAAAGCCAGAAAGCATTAAAGGAATTTTAACACACTATACCCTGAAATAAATATGCCCCTGCCTCTTTAACACCATGCACAGTATATTCTTAGTATTCAGTGAATTAAATCACTGTGGCTGAGATTGGACAGTCAGAGAAATCTGAGAAAGAGAGAAAAATTCTGTCCTTTGTATAAATTTTGGCACTACTAGATACTTTATTACAAAGCAGAAGGATGAATTTATGCTTTATGCGTGCTTGGCTAATGTTTAGGATAGAAAACCTGAACCGTTAAAGATCCACTAAGGACATGTTCAGACTGCATATAAGACTTGGGAGTAACAACCCAGTCCTAAATCTTTCTAGCCAACGAGCTTATCTTAAGATGTCCTTCTTTCTGTGAAGTCATTTAACATTTCAAGCCATTTTTAGTTTTAACTGCAATTTATATATGACTGTCAGTCTGTTAAAAATATGAATCATTTAATTCATCAATGCATTTTGCAATAAAAAAAACAAGATACATTTACACTAAAGGTCCTTGCACTCTGAGTCCGAAATTTATGTATGCGTTTGTTCATTTTTATTTTTTTGTATTTGTCATCCTTTCCTATCAAAATGCTTGCTACGGATGAGAAAATCAAACCTGATTTTTTTTATGACGGACGAAGGTTTCGGAGGCAGTGTGTAAACATGATTGACACATTGTGAGGTCATATTTATTTTGTAAGGTACAAAAATTTCAGACGAGATTTTCGGACTCAGTGTGCAAAGACCTTAACGGTGAATGCTGGAGTTACCAAGATGTTTGTCTCTAGTAGGCAGTACTATTGGGATTTGGTATCCAGCTGCATCTAGGTAGTCATTGAATCTTTCTGCTCCTTATTTGCATAATGTTGCAGAATGTTTCTACTTACAACAGTCCCTAGCACAGGTGTCTCATTGAAATTTAATGACATCCAGTTGTTTAGATGCAACAAAACTAAGAAATGGGAACAAACTAGCATTTGTGGGCTGCACTGCTACAATAAATCTGGGAAAAAAAGAAAAAAAAAATTTTTTAATAAATAAATACTGTAAATGCTACTAGACTAATAATTCTTACATTTTGATGGTGGATCTTTACATTGTCTGCTTGATATGTGCTCTATGATATGTGCATAAATAAAGACTGTTTCATAAACTACGTAAACATGCACTAGATGGATGACTTTGGACATTTTTTTTCCTTTAGGAGACTGTGTCAAATTAAAAAGAACTACATAAATAAACATTTAAAGCACACCCCGGGAATCCTGCATTCTGTTCCACTCAATTGCACTTCATCTAGTTCATTCTTTGCTACCCGTCTGTAAAAGTGAATGGGACAGGGAGCATAAATGAGTTCTTTTTTGTAATTAGCTCCACAAAGAGCTAACTGAACAAGCTTTAGCCTCTTCTAGCTATATTTCGTTATTATTCCTTTTATTCAAATTAGGGACCAGTCTTTGCTTGCTAAATTTTTGATGTTTGGGAGCAAGGCTAGTCCAATGCCATCTGTTGGTAGTAATCCACTTGTCAAGCATGTGTTTTATACTAGGAGGACCAGGGATTAATTTCACGGCCATTCTGCACATCCCAAAAGAGTGTAAAATGGCCTGCTTAGCTCTAAAAATAAAAGATTTACTGCAATCTTCATGCAAACTACAACAGCAAACAACAAGATTCTTCATTCTAAACCACTAAGTCTGAGGGACGGATCACAGAAAAATACAAAACTCTGTCATTATTGATTGATCCTTTTTCTGTAATTTTCTGTAGTTTTATGGAGCTTTTTTGCTCTTTTTGAGAAGTTTGAGTTTGAGAAGGAACTGCATGGAAGAGAGCAGCTGAGACATTCAAATGTTGTTTTCCACAGAGGAAAGAAAGCATGATGGTGAGTAAATAATGACAGAATTTTTCATTTAATTTTGGGTTAACTATCCCTTTATGTGCTTTCCAGCTGAGGACTCTGGCTTTCTGGTTCATGGCACTCTGGGGGTTTCCTGTTGTGCTGAAGGTCAATACACAGCTGACGCTTGAGAATGAGGGAGGGATAAATCAAAGTACGGTTATGAAGGAGGTGAAGAGAGAGAGAAAAGGGTAATCAAGGAAAGGAAGCAGGAAGAGCTGCTTTACCATGGCTGTCGTGGTCAGTATTTGACAGCTAAAGTGGCTTGAGTGGGTTTCCTCATAAGAAAATGAATTACACAGGAAACACTACAGCACCTGCTCTTACAGTAGTGCTTTTACACTTTGACTTTGTAACAAATCTTTCCTTATATTTCTCCAAGTGAATTGCATGTGAGAAATCACAGCCTCGTCCTCATGCTCAGTCCAGCATTATTCTATTTCCTAAGGGAATTATTTTATTTACATAAAATGAAAAATCCTTTAGACTTCCCTCCAAAGATAGAGAGGGGATATCAAGTCCAAAATAATTGATTTAATAATCAAACACACCTTAAAAGAGGCCCATAATCCTGGCACAGTAGTGGCAGTTGAGAGTATATCCGAAACAAATCACTCATCTGAAAGAAAGGAAAAAAAAGAAAAACAATGTTTATTCAGGCCATATCTCATCTAGAGAGGTTTCAATAATAAAAGCAACCTTTTTATGTTTTTTTATATCAGGGAAAATGTAAGCCTTGTGGAACTGCAGTTCATTAAACTTTATTAAATGACAGAATATACATCTATTCATCCAGTCACTGTTCAATCTCACAGATTAAACGTGTGCTTTTCTGAAGCAGAAGGTGTTACATTGGGCTTTGCCATTGTGTAAAGCCAAGTCAGATGTTACTATCTACACCATACTTGAGTGAAAAATAAGACGGAAAACTGTTTTGGCTGAGAGTTTGCATTTCTATGCAACTAAATTATTCAGCATAATACATTTTGAAGGATATTAAACCTTGCTGACATGAAAACCACATGTATATGTATGTGGGTTCAGACAGAACATTCTGTATTCTTCAAATTCTCTGCATAAATGTGAATGAAAAACCCCACAAATAATCAAATGTCTTGGGTTTTATAGATAATATCTCTATGTTGTGAATATAGCATTCTGAATACACCATCTGACAAATTTTCAATGTATATTAAGTAAAAAGCACTCTTACTAATTTAATGAATAATTTTTGTGTGGCATTGTTTGCATAAAGGGGTCATATGATATTGCTAAAAAGAACATTATTTTTGTGTATTTGGTGTAATGAAATGTGTTTATGCGGTTTAAGGTTAAAAAAACACATTATTTTCCACATACTGTACATTATTGTTTCTACTCTATGCCCCGCCTTTCTGAAATGCGTCTATTTTTACAAAGCTCATCGTTCTGAAAAGCGAGGTGTGCTCTGATTGGTCAGCTATCCAGTGTGTTGTGATTGGCCGAATACCTCAAGCGTGTGACAGAAATGTTACGCCCCTTACCATATTGTGATGCCCTGTCCGGCCGGAGCGACGAGACAAAAACATTAAAACCCATTATAAACGAGGCATTTGTTGCATCCAGTGGGTGCATAATTACGGATTATAATGACATATACGGTCTTTTTAAACATAAAACCATATCTGCATTTGTGATTGGGCTTGCGGCACCACATGTGATGACCCCGGGCGGGACTCCGCTTCGTCCACAGTGAAAGCCGATCCGGCGATGCATTTCCTCAGCGCCCAGCATGGATCAGCTCTAGGCATGACGAAGCGGATATCATCCTCTTTTGGAAGGCCAAACTAAGTAGTTTCGCTTTCACAATGAAACACTTAGCATCTTCACGACATGGCGGCAGTAACAATACTACAGCGAGAATAAAAGTTATGCCTTCTTTCTTTGCGTGAACATTTGGGTGGCGTTATGCAAATCTTCCCACATTGTGACGTAGACATGTGGGGGCCTGGTAGAATGAGACGTTTTAGGTAGGCGTGGTTGACTCTTAACTTTTATAAAGAATATCTCTTTGGATTTGAGACTTTAGTTTTTGCAACTTTACAGATCTTCTTTATGAACCAAGAGCTTGTATCACTTCAAAGAGAAAGGAAAAATTGAAATCGCATCATATGACCCCTTTAAAGGTACAGCAGGAGATCTTAGAAAATGCTAACTTTAGCCTGATATCACTGAAAGCGAACATCCCACCCTCCCTGCAATCGCCGTCCAAAGCCACGCCCCCTGAACGCATTTACGCTCACAGACCAGAGTACTAGAGACAACATTACTACAATAGGCTACATCAGCGGTTCCCAATTCTAGCCCATGTTCCGAAGTGAAGTAAACTTCAATGGATTTCCCCTGCTCAGGGACGAGGGAGCAATGAACACTGTGTAGGGATCATATGGATCGGAACACAGTTCATGTGTTGTGAAAAGTTACTTTTAAAAGTAATGCATTACAATATTGCGTTACTCCCTACAAAGTAACTAATTATTAATAATGCGTTACTTTCAAGTTACTTTTTAAATATGAGCAGGGTTTGATTGTTTTTAATATAAAAAGTTTTATTTATAGCAAATGTAAAAGCCCTTTCACACCAAAAAGTGTAATGAATAAACCTCAGGCTGAAGCAAAAGTAAATTCACATCTGTACAGTAGAACGCAGGAGAAGAAACACTCTTCAGCAATAAAAAAAACAATGAAGCACAATTGTTAGTTTATCTAAAGTCATTTTTGCTTGTTAGTATGGTTGAACTGGATCATCAAAGGTCAGCAGCAAAGACATTGGTTAATAAAATGGGATTAGATACATTTGTGTTATTTAACATATTTAATTATTGCAGGTTTGCGTCATATTCTGAGTTTGGATTTCACTGTTTTAATTCATTTTGATGAATACCAAATCTGTTTTTTTGTGAGTGGGATGAATTAACGCACATTCACATTTAGTCTAGAATGACAGTAACATCATGTTCACACAGCGCACACAACTCCTCTGCACTTCCGATTTCTCCCAATATGGGGACAGGAGACTTGTCAGTCAATAAATGGGAAAACAAAGTAACTGACGTTACTTTTTTGAAAAAGTAACTCAGATATCTTCTTGTAAATTAAAAAAAGTAATGCGTTACTTTACTAGTTATTTGAAATAAGTAATCTGATTACATAGCTCGCGTTACTTGTAATGTGTTACCCCCAACACTGTTCATGCACGTAGCTCACTTCTAACGAGCTGGTTATCTGAATCGCGATGACTGGAATTGGGAACCGCTGAACATTTCTTGGTCCTACGCCTTCCACAGAATGTATAAATACAGATAAATACATTTAGACCGCTTAACTTCATGATTGCTATGGGGATGTGAAGAGACTTTCAACCAGCATAACAAAAAATGTTTCTGAAGACAATCACCTATTGCACCTTTAAGATGGCATTACAACACCAACTCGCATAAAAAGTAAGAAATGGATCATATCAGACAAGTCAATCAGCAATAAAGGAACGTATCAGGTTCAGAGAGGGAGAAGAAAGGTTAAACAAACTCCACAAACCCAACAAGTTATAATACACTGCATAACGTTTCAGACACAAACCATGTGGAACTCAAAAATGATGGATCTGCCATGAAGAGAAGAATGTTCCTCAGGCTTGTGCACGCTTTTCTGTCTACTTATGTTTCTCTTGGCAAAGCTCTGCATGGCCATCTTATTTTTCACAAGGAGCCTCTGTCCACGCATATATGGTTGAACTTTATGAGCATAGTAGACAAAAGTGGCAGAAGCACATTTCACTGGCTGGAAGACCCTCCATCCTCTGTCAGTTCTAGCATCAGCTCGGTGAATGAAACTAAGCATATCTACGGTCACAGAACCGGAGCCTTGAAAGGCTCTGAGGCCACTTAGCTCATGACTTCTGAGTGAACTTGACGGCTGGAAATATATTCCAAACTTACAATCTCTCTGCTCACTTATTGTAAATAAAGAAGAAATTTCAAGTCAAGCATTTCAGTTGGCATGCACAGACAAACCAGCACTGGTAATCTCGCCAATGAGATTATGGGAAAAAAAGTTCATTAATAAAGGGTTTTTGATTTTGTCAGTGATTAGATGAGCCTGAAAATGTACATAATGACAATAAATATATGAACTGAATCAAAATATATTGTTGATGAAAATATTATGAAAAATTACTATACATATGAGAATAATCAAAAATATACACAACATCAAAAGGGCACAAATGCACAAGCAAACTTGATATTATGCACTGGTCAAAATGTGTCACGTTCCTTCCACACAAAAAAAACACAATGAAAAACTAAAGTAAACACAAAAAGACAATGAAAACTTAAGTTAAAAAAATTTATACAATAAAGCACTGCAGTCACTCTGGTTCCCTCAACAAAAATCCAATCAGATTTTTCCACTGGCTTTTGGATTATCGTTTATGATTCTCACATGCTTTGTTCACCATGATAACCATCACAAATAAGCACAACTTTTATGAATTTTGAAGACTAAATACAACTGGCAGAAGTAAAAATCTTAGGATATACATGAACTACACCACAGTTACATGACTTCAACGTCACCACCAGCTTTGACTCTTTCAGTCTTTATTTTAAAAAAATTATTAATTAAATTCCCTGAAATGTTAATTTAGAATAGTTTTTAAGAGTGCAGTTGTTGAATTATAAACACAACAATGCGATGAAAGCAAAGTCAGTGGACTAGTGACTAGAGTTTAGCGTTTTGGCATGATGTTTAATGTCCCGGACAACTTCTGTAGCCTTTTTTAGCCACTTGTTAACAACTGCCTTTTTCAAAAGAAGTAAAAACAAAAAAGCAATCAATCAATCAACCACAGGGGGCATTACTGATGTATTTCATGTCATAGACTAAAACTATGAAAAATATCAGGTTAACCACAGAAATTATTTCAGGTATTTAATCAAAAACCCATTCAAAAAACTCATTGACTTTGGGACGATAGAATGGAAGTAAAACTTGTATCCAGGTTTTGGCCTACAAAAATGTGTGACTTTTGTTAAACATTGATACAGATTTAAATTAATATTTAAAACGTTTTAATGTTTAGTTGCATTTTACACTCATAAACTAAAATGTTTTTTCTTTTTTAAATTAACACCAGTGTTTCTTCCAAATTGAATGACTGTTTTTCCCTTTGGTCCAAAACTGATAAAGTACATCATATGGCTGCTGTTCTGAGGGAAAGCAGGGAAAAAAACACTTTAATTTTGGTGTCTGGCAGGCCCATAAAAATGCAGTGTTGCTGTAAGTAAAACATCTTACGCCATGAAGCATGTACCAAGGAATCACTCCTGAGGGCAGCATTGAAAGGTTTGGAAGAGGACTAATCAGTGCCTGAGCGGGTGTTGTAGAAATGAAAAGTCTTGAAACATTCTCAGTTCAGTCCTAAAGCTCCTCCTCTCCATTTAAAGATAGCCAGGCAACGCTTAAATATAAAATAAGAACTTCACATCTAGAAAAAAAAAGAATAAAAATATTTTTCAAGTTCCAGTGCAGAGAGAAGCAGGGTTTTTTGGCCGTAATTTATAGTATTTCATCAAGCGA